ACTTGGGTAATTAAACCGACTTCGGTCCGTCGCTCTCGTTGAAATGATCAATGCGAAACGAATTTCAAATGGGTTTCTCATTTAAAAAAGAAAAAAAAAATCTCATTCCTATATAGTTTAAAGATGTTTCCACGATTTCAAATGGCTTTACTCGACTGAGCAAAGCATTCCAAAATTTAATTTTGGCCACAAAAGCGTTGTTAAGGGCCAGAATTAATAATTACCTCAAACTTGGGTAATTAAACCGAAAATTTTAATACAATAATTTAATTTTAATATAATATTTTAATAATTTTATTATAGAAATTTATTATTTAAAGAAAAAAAACTAGTAATTGCAATCATATATGTTCGTATAATTAGACTTTTGCAAAAATAAAATTGCCTACAGTCAATTTCATTTTTTATTCCCCTTTGAATGATCATTTTATACTTAAAATTGTTATTATTTTCATTAGATTACTTTCTATCAGAAAATTTGATTTATTAAACATTATTATTGACATCAAAAACTATATTAATAACTATATACTATATCTTTCAGCTCCTGCTATTTCTCGTGTGAGATAGTAGAATTTCCAGTACTTAAACGGTGCATAATATCGTCAAGAGTAGTGGAAAAATTTTTTTGCTAAAATGATTTGCGCATACTTGATTCATAAATAAGAAAAAGGGTAGTTGATAAGGAAGATCGATTGATAGGATGAAGGATTAATACGATTTCTGAAAGAATCGATATACGAATTACCCGCGTACAAGATCAAATACGTTATAAATATAACTCCAAAATAATTTGAATAAAATATTTTAAATTTCAAAATTCATTAAATATAAAACTATACCAATCAGTTACTATTGCCACTAAATCGATAACAAAAAATTTCAAAAAAAATGTATCAAAAAAAATTTGAATAAAGCAAATGAACTTATCAATATTCGATGAAAAATAAACATGGAGAAAAATCAAACTTATTCATGTTTTCATGCGCAATGTTGACTGTTGGGAATTTTTTCGGATTTCCGAACACATAATAATGGTTTTTTTTTTTAAAGGTGATAATTATTTCTGGTTTTATTCATCCCGCTGGCTTAACGGATCGAACAAATTTTGACAAAAACTCATAAAGCGAAAAAAATATAAGTGAATGATTATGTATAATTAATATATCTCTAATAATTCTATATTTTCCATCAAATTTTCCTCAATATTAATTTATTTACTTGCTTTTGCGGAATTTATTTTTTATTTTTAAATCATTTTCATTATTCATCTTCAAAAAATAAAAATTCTGATAAAATAATGAAGATTGCTAATGATGCAACAATATTAAAATTATTGAAATTTGTTCAATTTCGATAATTCTTCAGCAATTCTTCAAAACGAGAAGTGAATAATTAACGAAGAGCTTATATAACAATTTCTAGTTATATGTACGGTTAATTTATTTAAAAACAACGAGCTACGATTAAATACGATTAAATATCTATTTTTTTACTTAAAATTTCGATTTAAATTTGATTTATTGATTCTAATATTAACATATTATTATTAGTATAGAATCAAATTCTTATGAGTTCAAACTGTTACTATGAAAGAAAGCATTTAGTTAATTAGCTGAACCCTCGAACAAGATTAGACATCTTCGCAAAAGATTAAGTTGCGAGGAAAATGTTAATCTTAACGAATCGTTATTAATAATATTAAATATTAACAAAATTTTTTAATTCCTATTAGAGATATAAATTTATGGCAAAAAAAAAAATAATTCCCTCATCTCAAATTTATAATCGCTTTTTGGCTTGTTGGATTATATGAAAATATGAATAAATCGCATTTTTTCACAAATAAAATTTTTACGAATAGAAAAAATTATTATTAAATCAGTTATAATAAATTCCGTTATGTCGGCTGGTTTAATTTTTTTCGTTAGTTTTTTAGTTTTTTTCATTAATTTTTTTTTCTAAATAAAAATTTCCAAATATTCAAAATTGCATTTAGAAATATACATATACAAATTTTATTCGTTGAAGGATCTAAGACATTTCAGGGGATCATATTCGGTGCCAATCTGCCGATAAGCGATTCTTCCAAACTTGGTGAACTATTTAAAGATAAAGGATGTCGACTTACGGGTGTTTCTTGTGGAGATAAAATGGTGTTTCGTTCTATTAATCGATACAGCAAACCGGGATATAAATTAGAATGCACTCAACGTTGTTCATGTGCAAATCTTAATCATTTAGAAAAAAATGGGAAATGCATCAATAAAGTGGATGTAATCGAAGGTGGAAAACTTAGTGTAAGTATTTTAGCTAATTTTTAATTTGATTTCATAAAACTAGTAATTTTACGTAAGCTAATATTGCAACCAATAAAGCATTTCACCATAGCAATTAATTGACATTTACGTGTAAAAATCCACAAATTCATTTCACATGGAATCGAATGATGTGGCTATTTTACGCATATTTATTTTATTTGATCCTTTCGTGAATGAAGATTTTAGAATAGAATTAGAATTAGTTATTACCAAATCACCAGATTGTGAACTAAATGATAGTGGATAGAAAATGTCGTCTGACAGGAAACAAATGCGATTATTAACGAGATTCACTCTGAGAATAATACAATGGTTTGATACCACGTAAATCACCGTATGTATTCAAGATTGTGCCTGCGATAGCAAAAACTTTGAGGCAAAAAGATTGTCATTACATTAACAGAGATTAAGCACTTAAAACCCATCAGCAATTCAATCACTTCTTTTGTGATAACTGCTAATTCGAAGAAGAACACGGTTAGCGTGTTTTGAGTTCAGCTTAGATCACTGAAATCACAGAAATGAAGTCTTTTCTAAATTTCGAGACAAAAGAACGAATTCAGGCAAAATTTGGACGTAATACAAGCGATGAAATTTTCGCTACTGTTCGGTGGAATGATCGAATACTTATATTGGAGTTAGGCCGTAGTAATCCACATCTTATTCATATACATATATGGATATATTCATATCCATGTCTTTTCCACTTTCTATTTCTGGATCTTCAACAATAATAATATTTAGTTTAAAAGGAGCCATTGGTATTAACGCAAAAATGATCGGGATCAAATCCGAAAGAGCTAGGCCAGTTTTATTCATACTGGTTCCTATAAAGTTGGATTGTTGGACGTCTGTTCTGTTTTAAATATGTTGCAGTCTGAAGCTAAGATTTTCAAATAGAAATCATTCACGCAATTTATTGCATACATTCATTCGCAAACTGTTCGATAGAATAATTTTTCATAAACATTCTCGAATTTTAACTGTTCTTTGATCATAGGAGTTAGTTCCCACCTAATTGCTTAGTTCTTTATTTAGCTTCAACAAATGGAGGAAGACCAATCTCGTTTAGTACGATATAGTCAGGTGTGACAAAAATTCTTGAATAACACAGCAACACAAGGATTTAAATGATTGAAAGAGAAGGGGAGGACTACTTTTACTTTCGAGACATGCGACTCAAATTCTCTCTACATTTGCAACGATCCAATCTTGCTTCGTCGAAGAGATTTGAGGGCATTCGACCATGTGAACTGCTTACTGGTTTTGAAACAAATAATTCATTGAAAAAATACATTATTGGAATATTACTTAATAGAAATTAAAACAGTTACATTAATTATATTTGCTTTTTTTTTAAGAATCACCATTACTGATTAAACTTACTCCACTGGCTTATGCCATGGAGTCCCTTGGTGAAAGAAATACAACTGAGTCACCAACATCACCTAGATTTTTGTATAGGTTTACTCCTGCGGGAAATCGAACCCCAGCGTCAGCGCTCTCAATTGACCAACAACTCACTGAGCCATCCTACTCTTGATAATAATAATTTATAATTATTAATAATTATATTTATTAATAAAAACTATACAGTAATATTTTCTTATATTTTAAAAAATATTTTGTATTTTAAAATATAATTTTGTATAATATAATAATATTTTGTATAATATAATATATTTTAAAAAAGTTTTGTATTGGAACCAATTTTACAAGAATTTCAGTGCAAAATGGAATCGTGCAAAGTCAACGAAATAGTCCTCGATACAGGTTGCCATTTAACGGGGCATAAATGTGGAGTGAATATGGTATTCAGGACCATTAGCGAAGAAAGAAATGATTCATTACAACTTCGGTATTGTGTCCAACGATGCTCTTGCGAGAGGGAGGAATTTGTAGCAAAAACATTTCATTGTGAAAGGGCTAAAATTCAATTAAAAAGCGATATGGTTACGAACGAATATCTTCAAGTAATTTTATATCAATTATATTAATTTTATATTAATTAAAAATATCTTTATACTTTTCATTTTCACTTTTTCATTTCTCCACCAAAATTCATCAGATTTTTTAAAAAATCCCAGCTTCTGAAAAAATAACATTTATAATCATTTAAGAGAACCTTATATTGCTAAAATAATAGAATGAAGGTAGTTCAATTGAGATAAATTGAAAATTAAATAATATTCATTGAACAATATTATTTAATATTATTTAATAATATAATATATATAATAATATTGAAAATAAAATAATAATTAAATAATAATTAAAAATAAATTGAAAATTTAAGGCCAATGCTCGCGAAATCATGACATCTTTCATTCCATTATATTCTCTGGGTTTTCAGTATTGTCCACGAGCCAATTACAAATTGGGGAAAGAAATAACTGATCTGGGCTGCCGGATGACTGGCTTTAAATGCGGAAGCAATATGGCTTTCGTTACAGTGGAGCAGTTCTTTATTAACGAAAACTCAGACACTATTATAGGATGCATCCAAAAATGCGAGTGTAGGGAAGATTCTATATATTCCAAGAATGAAGGAAAATGCATTAAAAAAGTTTGGATATTTTTTTGGATTGTCGTTTTTATAATAATTTTTATATTTGAAAAAAAAATTTCTTACAAAATCAGAAAAAAATTATAAAATTTTTCTGTTCAGCACTAAGTATTTCCTTTAGTGGTACTATGAAGGAGGATATTACAAACCTGGAAAAAAAGTCTTCGATTTTGACTGTACGCTTACGGGTCGAGAATGTGGAGCTAATATGATATTCGTCAGGCAAAGAAATGACACCGATTATTGTATTCAGATTTGCAAATGTATAAATGACGACTATATCGAAAGCGACGGGCAATGTCTCAAAAAGGTACCAAAGATTTCCTTTGAAAAAATCATTTAATCTCAGATTTTTCATATTATTTCCAAGATATATATTACATGATTCTGCTCAGTTCTTCTAACTGATCATTTCCATTTCTTAGCCTTAGTTTTCTTTTCAAAATCATACTTGGTAGTTTGTTGAAATTAGCCGAGTTTATGGGCATATTTAAAAAAGAAGAGCGAATAAGGCCATGGATTTGAGTACAAAAAGGATGAAGGCAGAAAATCAAGCATGATCATAGGTTTTGTCGTGTAGAACAGGCGAGTTTTACGTTATGGACGAAATTTGCAATATTTATGCGCAGAATATAAGAAATAGTATATACAATAATATTGTGACATAAAAGATCCGTTCTTCCAGAAGAATATAAGTACCAAATGATTATCCCTTAACCAGCAATANNNNAATAGTAGTAATTTCATTAGCATCAATAGGCAAATATATCGTAAAAATCTATCGTAAATAGATATGCATAGTAATATTAGACACTTCTCTAACAGATGTACTTTTCTTCATGTTTTGCTTAATGCCGGCGGCAAAATGTTTCAAAAAGTGTTTTAAAGGAAGAGTTAAACGATAATGCAGCAATCGAACGTTTCACCAGTAAAGGGCGTCGAAAACTCATTGAGGTCGGCCATATATTCGGAGATTTTGGCTGTTTTTCAACTAATACTGCATGTGGAACCAATATGATATTTCGTCCATTCATACATTTCTATAATATAACCGATTCAATATCGCACGAAAAGTGTTTGCAACGTTGTTCGTGTATAAATGATAAATACGTAGAGGAAAATAAACAGTGCATTGAGCGTACTCAAAATCTGAACTCACTAAATGAGGTTAGTATTTTATAGATAAAAATTAAAATATTTCTTTAAACGAGTGAGATTAGGCAAACGTCCTTGAAATTTAGCAAATTAGCGTCGCATTAAAGATTTCGAAAATTTCTTAAACGTTTTCGTTTTTGCTTTTTTTTCTAAGCTATCGCTGGAATTTCAATGGGAGTTAAGCTTAATTTTTAATAATTTTAAAACAATAACAATTTAAAACAATAAATTAAAATGCAAATTAGATTGCCTGTGGGTGTTATTGATAATCCTCAACATAGGATCCGCTATCATTAGCCTTGGGACAAACTAGTGCGCTTTTCTGGATAGAGATCTCCGATGTTGTTTTTTTTGGAATCTGATAAAGCCACTTTCATGTATTATATATTTATATTACATATTTTATTTGAAGGGTACTGTTGCGATCAATCGATCGTGTTTTATAAATGCAAATTGCAAAAATGGCGAAATTGTAATAGATATGGGATGTCAATTAAGTGGTCAGAAATGTGGAGTTAATATGTATTTTATTCCATTCGCTGTAAATTTGTCGGCGAATATATGCACGCAGCATTGTCACTGCGACAATGAACTTTTTGTACTAAATGGCGAACAATGCATTAATCGAAACAATTTATTCAGCAGCACTCTTGAGAATAATATTAGCGAATCAAAAGGAAGAGAGGAAGAAGTCAGTTTTTCGAAAAAAACCAATTTTCTTTCTTTCAGAACTGGTCTATTTAAATGGTGCTTTTTTTTTATCGCAAAACTTCGAGATGTGCGGAATCTTTGATTGGATTAATTGTCTCTATTGAATGAAAGAATAATAATAATTTCAGCACAATTCACTAAATTGCTTGTACGGGAACTGTTTGCTTTCTCAAGAAATCCTTGATTATGGTTGTAAATTAGACGGACAACCATGTGGACCGAATATGACGTTTCGATTAATCGATAAAGAAGAACTTGGAGATAAAGAGATTCTTGGCGTTAAATGTACTGCGATTTGTGAATGTGCCAGTGAATTTTACGAAAACGAAGGACGGTGCATGAAGATGGACCAATAAAGCTTTCCTCATCAGTATTATAATCCGGTGGGAAATAAAGGCTTTTTGGAAAAATCTGATTTATTTTTCTATTATTCCACATGAACTATCCTAAAAATGATAATTATGGTTCTTTTTTTATTCGAAATAACATTTTTCAATTTATAAAAAATTGTGGTTGCCGATCGATTTCAGTGTTCAAAACGAAATTGTACCGTTGGTCAGATGGTTTTCGATGAAGATTGTCGTTTAGCTGGTCAAAATTGTGGAACAAATATGGTATTCGTTACTCGCGGAACAATATTTGTATCAAACACTCAATATTGTTATCAACGTTGCAGTTGCCAAAATGAGGAATTTGTTGAAAATAATTTACAATGCGAAAAAAAAGATGAATTTCATTTGGCGAAAGGAATATATCAAATTAATTTTACCGAAGTGAAATTAATTTTAAAATAATAAAATCCTTAGTTTTTCATGGATTTTCATGGATTTTGCTTTTCATTGCATAAATTAGCGAAAAATTTTTAATTTCAATTTTTAATTTTCCAATTTTCAATCCAATTATTCAATTTTAACTTTGTTGTTCCATCGACTTTGAAACTTATTTTTTATAAATCAATTTTTACCGACCATTGATTTACTGATTTATTGGAGTTAAATCCAATGAAATTTAAGAGCATTAAGTTTAATAGCTAAGCTTTCAACCATAAACAATTTCACTTCTGCATATACAAATTAATTAATTAATTAAAATAATCGCTTTCAGTATTGTCCACAAAATCGTTACAAACATGAAGAAGAGATTTTTGATGCGGGCTGTCGTTTGACTGGTCAATATTGCGCACGAAATATGGTATTCAAGACTGTCCAAAATTTTTTCAATAATTGTATACAACGTTGCACTTGTGCAGAAGAATACAATTACAATGAAGAAGATGGAGAATGTTTTAGAAATGTTAGGATTTTTCAAAGTTAATTCTCCATTGTTATTTTCCTTCTAATTTTAAAAAAAACAAGAGCATCAATTATTCCAATTATTCGAAGTAATCGAAGTGTTATGACCTATTTTTTTAAGTTTTTTATAAAATTATGATTGAAAAAATAATTGGAATAAATGAAATATTTCAATAAAAATTTTCCTTCTATTCATATTTTTTAAACAAATTTTTATTCGATGATTTAGTGGTACTGTGAAGGAGGGTACTGCAAACATGGAAGGATGGTTTATGATAATGGTTGTACGCTTACTAACTTTAAATGTGGAACCAACATGAAATTTGTTATCTTGGAAATAATTGATGGTGGAAATTGTATCCAAATATGTAGCTGCGCAGACGACGAATATATTGGAATTGATGGCGAGTGTATAAAACAAAGTGAAACGTCAGAATATCCACGTATTTTGGAATCAAGCAATAATATTTCTGATTATCAGAANATGATTAATGGCAATTCGCCTGATTAGTTTAATTGTCGCCACTCTTTACCGGCTTTTGCTGGTTTATTGAGTAAATTTTCGTAATATTTTTGAGCTAATTTCATTTCAATAAATAAAATATGAATAAAATAAAATTCAATAAAAGAAAAATTGATTAAATTAATAAATCATTTAAACCAAAAAATTTATAAAATCTTTTAGCGTTATTAATTGATTTGCGAAAAAAATGTTCACAATTAATATTTTTCGCTAGCAAAAAATCATCGTTTTCATCGATTTATTTTAAAAAAATTTTTTAAGCGGTATAATGCATTATAATTGACCACCACAATAATCAAAATAATCACTACATTAGGCCAATTCCGACAATTGCTATGATAAATAGATTGTAGATCGGAAATTATCACCTATATCATCATCCCTGATTAGATTCTCTCCGGTAGCTTATCAGATGAAACCAATTTTTTCAGAGATTTATTCGACCATCACTGAGATGGCAGGTTTATTCGTGCCAGCTTTATCTATTTAAATGATTATATTGTTCGCGTGATTTTTTATTATAATTTTTATATTTTATTATATTGTAAATCTTTAAAATATTTCGCCTTTTCTGCTTTATTTATAGGAAATTAATAAATCTTTCATTGATGTGATGCTGAAAATTTCCAAGAAGAAAGTGTATTTTTGAAGAATTCATTAAAGGTCTTCCAATTCCAATTTGCTAATTTCTGACAGAAAAAATATTCGAGTCAAAAAATTTTAGTTTTCATTCAAAATTCTATTCTTAGTATGCAGCAATGGAAAGGTCGAATTTATATTGTTCGACCTATAGAAGGCAATGTCACTATATTTTTCATATTTCCTATATTTCAATATCGCAACGAGAGTAGTGATATTTTATAGAATATTTTATAGAATAATATTTTATAGGATTGTACAATGAGTATAATTTAAAGCGAAAAAAAGGATAAAATGAAAAATATTATCAAAAATATTACATTTTTTCAAAAAAAAGAAACAGAATATTAGAAAAAATATTTCCACAAAATATTTTCATAAAATTTTCAAATTGCAAATTTTTTTTTTTTCATGATTCAGCGGTATTGTTGAGGGTGAACTCTGGCATAATGCAATACTTGAACTATATTCACCTTCACTTTCCACATTTTTGCCAATTTCTCTTTCAGCTCATGACATTTCTCTAGGTTCTCATAGTGATCGTCGCTGGTGAAACTTAAAATAGAACGAATAGCGAGAGTTGAAAATTCTGCGAATTCCTTCAAGATTTAAAGATTTCAAATAGTGCCGTATGAGTCTGAATAAAGGAAATCGAGCAAATTTTAGGTGTACTCCAGGCAACATAACTTTCGCCGTTGTTACATGGAGCGATAGAAAACTTATAACATATTTGGGAACATATTTCATTCATACGCTTTCCTATTATGTCCATCTTTTAATTCTGGAAGGAATAGCTACTAAACGAATATTGGTTTTAGCAATAAATGTTCGAGAACATCAGATCTGAAAGAGTCAGATCAGTTTTAGTTCAACAGAATACTATTAATCGTTGGACAGCTGCTTTAGATATAAATATAATATTAGATATTTAAACATAAAATAGTGTTGTGATCACTCAGGCATAAAGTGACACTCCCTACATGCCGAGAGGATACGATCGAATACCAAATATTTAATATTTTTAATAATAATTGCCATGCTATTCGATCATGGTAGAAATTGATTCCTATCTTTCTAACTGCCAAGTCTCTCTACTTTACTTTCGACAAAATGAGGAAAGTCAATTTCGACTGAACCGATTTAGTGAGAAATGAGAACTATTCAAGGGCTTAGCGACAAAAGGCATTTCAGCAGTGGGAAGAGGCATGATACTTCATTAGTTGAATTGAGATAATTTTGTGGAATTTCTTTTAAGGGTTTTCACCATTACTGGTTAAACTCGTTCCTTTGACTTGTCGCATTGGACAAATATGCCAGAGAGTCCCTCGGCGATAGAAGTACAAGTGAGTCGCCAGCATTATCCGGACTTTTGGAGAGTAATGCTTTTGTAGGAAATAGAAGCGACGCTCCGAATTGAGCAATAACCTATGATAGCCATTCTACTCCAAGTGCCAATAGTTTTATATTTAATCGCATGACTTCAAAAATAGAATGACTTGAGGATAGAATGGCTCAGTAGGTCTCTCAATTGGGTGCGCCGATGCTGAGGCTTGATTCCCCTCAGGAGTAAACCTGTAAAAAAAATCCGAGTAATGCTGACGACTCAGCTGTATTTCTATCGCCAAGGGACTCTCTGGCATAATGTTGAGGACTCGTAAAAACAAAGAAAAATAATGGAATGAGTAAATGTATTAAGATAAGATGCATAAAATGTATAATTCAGCCAGTCGAGACTCTGCCGTTACAATGAAGAAGATTCTAATTCCTATGTAAATATTCCTCTTGACGCTTTGTCTGCGAGATTGTATTTTAAACGAATATGGAGGAATTTATCGAAATGTTGGTGACTTTCTATCAAAACGAGAACAAAACGTTTCTACTCTTTCTCATTGTTTTTAATCCATTCGATGGCAACTCTACTATTAGACCACCGATTCTGAGGCGCCTTCTCTTGAATTCCAATTTGATTAGGAATGAAATCGTTTTATCACCATATCTACTTTTCAAAATAGCGCACATATTCCCATACGATTCACTATCCATGGTGAGTCTTTCCACCAATTTCTTCGCTTCTCCTTCCAGAAAAAATGAGATATTTAAATTTATCCACTGAATCGGAATTCTATTTCCAGCAGTCGATAGAAGGTTGTCCTCAAATGCGATCCAACCCTTATCAAACAATCGAATTTTATCAACAGAGCTTTATCACTGGCTCAAATTTCTACAAATCCTTTTCTATATTACCCATCTTTATTGTGCTTTATTATCATTTCTATTGTAAAGTTTGACCATGACTTCCAACTCTGAAATGCTTTACGTGCTTGTTGAACAAGTCGTAAATACATATTCATTCGGGTCAATCTGCTATCGTTTTATACTTATTACAGTCTAGATGTGATTGGTTTTCTTTGAAATAAGAGACCTTGATAGGTAAAGAGATAAGAGCCAATTCCTAAGATGATCGAATGGCATGGCTTAAATATGCAATTATAAAAAAATTTAATAATGATCAATTTCATATTCAAGCAGAGAAAATATATTTATGAGTGACCACAGATTCTGTTTTTGGTGTTTATGTTTAAAGCAGGTGTCCAATCATTAATAGGATTCCGTGGGACTAAAATTGACTTAGCTCTTTCGGATATTTTCTCTACATTTTTAATGATATTTTTTATTTTATCCTTTTCTTCTTTTTAAATTGTACTCATTGTACAGTTCTATAAAATGTTATTCTATAAAATATTCTATAAAATAAATATCACTGCTCTCGTTATGTAAAAGATAGGAAATATAGAAAAATATAGTGGCATTGCCTTCTTTAGGTCGAAAATATAAATTCAACCTTCCTATCGCTGCAGACTAAAAATAGAATTTTGAATGAAAACTAGATGCACCAACAAAATTTTTTGACTCGAATATTTTTTCTATCAGAAATTAGCAAATTGGAATTGGAAGACCTTTAATGAATTCTTCAAAAATACACTTTCTTCTTGGAAATTTTCAGCATCACATCAATGAAAGATTTATTATTTTCCTATAAATAAAGCAGAAAAGGCGAAATATTTTAAAGATTTACAATATAATATAATATAAAAATTGTAATAAAAAATCACGCGAACAATATAATCATTTAAATAGATAAAGCTGGCACGAGTAAACCTGTCATCTCAGTGATGGTCGAGTAAATCTCTGAAAAAATTGGTTTCATCTGATAAGCTACCGGAGAGAATCTAATCAGGGATGATGATCTAGGTGATAATTTCCGATCTACAATCTATTTATCATAGCAATTGTCGAAATTGGCCTAATGTAGTGATTATTTTGATTATTGTGGTGATCAATTATAATGCATTTACCGCTTAAAAAATTTTTTTAAAATAAATCGATGAAAACAATGATTTTTTGCTAACGAAAAATATTAATTGTGAACATTTTTTTCGCAAATCAATTAATAACGCTAAAAGATTTTATAAATTTTTTGGTTTAAATGATTTATTAATTTAATCAATTTTTCTTTTATTGAATTTTATTTTATTCATATTTTATTTATTGAAATGAAATTAGCTCAAAAATATTACGAAAATTTACTCAATAAACCAGCAAAAGCCGGTAAAGAGTGGCGACAATTAAACTAATCAGGCGAATTGCCATTAATCATNTTCTGATAATCAGAAATATTATTGCTTGATTCCAAAATACGTGGATATTCTGACGTTTCACTTTGTTTTATACACTCGCCATCAATTCCAATATATTCGTCGTCTATGCAGCTACATACTTGAATGCAATTTCCATCATCAATTATTTCCAAGACAATAAATTTCATATTGGTTCCACATTTAAAGTTAGTAAGCGTACAACCATTATCATATACCGCCTTTCCAAGTTTGCAGTGTCCTTCTTCACAGTACCACTAAATCATAGAATAAAATTTTATTCAAAAAATATGAATAGAAAGAAAAATTTTATTGAAACATTTGAAACATTGAAAAAAACATTTCATTATTCGTTTTTTTTATTATTTAACATAATTTAAAAAAAAAAATTTCATTTTTTCATTATTATTCGTGGTTTGCTTTTATATGCTTCTTATCATGTAGAAATAGTCTTTAGTATCAAATTTTTCGTAGATTTGTCGCCAAGATGGTGCTTCGATTATAATGCTCTTTTTTAATAATTTTTTTTAAGGAGTCCTCGCCATTACTGGTTGAACTTGCCTTACTGGCCTGTCGCATTGTGCAATATGCCAGGGGGTCTCTTGGCGATAGAAATGTAGGTGAGTCGCCAGCGTCACCCGGATTTTCGCTCCTGTTCAGGGAGCCGAACCTCAGTATCGGCGCTCCAAACTGAGCAATTCTATTTTTAACATTAGAAGAAGAAAAATAACATTGGAGAATTAAACTTCGAAAAATCCTAACATCTCTAAAGCATTCTCCATCTTCTTCATTGTAATTATATTCTTCTTCACAAATACAACGTTGTATACAATCATTGGAAAAATTTTGAACAGTCCTGAATACCATATTTGGTGCGCAATATTGACCAGTCAAACGGCAACCCGCATCAAAAATCTCTTCTTCAAGTTTGTAACGATCTTGTGGACAATACTGAAAGCTAATCATTAATTAATTTATATATGTAGAAGTGATATGAGATACTTTATGCTTGAAAATTAATCTATTATGCAAATACTATTAATTTCATTGAATTTCGGCTCCAATATATCAGTAAATATTGACTTATAAAAAAAAGTCGATGGAATAGCGAAATTGCATGGAAAAATTTAATCAGCAGTTTTTCGTTATTTCATGGAAAAAAAGGAGGAATAATGCTTCATGAAAACTAGAAATTGTAGTAGATTAAAGTTACTTCAATAAAATCGATTTGGTATATTCCATTCGCCGAATGAAATTCATCTTTCTTTTCGCATTGTAAATTATTTTCAACAAATTCCCCATTTTGGCAACTGCAACGTTGATAACAATACTCAGTGTTTGATGCAAATATTGTACCACGAGTATGCATAACGAATATCATATTTATTCCACAGTTTTGTCCAGCTAAACGACAACCACCATCGAAAACCATTTCACCAACTGTGCAATTTCGTTTTGAACACTGAAATCGATCGGCAATCATAATTTTTTGCGAGTTAAAAAATATTAATTCGAAAAAAAAAAGAACCATAATTATCATTTTTAGGATAGTTTATGTGGAATAATAGAAAAACAAATCAGATTTTTCTAAAAAGCCTTTATTTCCCACCGGATTATAGTACTGATGAAGAATGCTTTGTTGGTCTATCTTAATGCACCGTCCTTCGTTTTCGTAAAATTCATTGGCACATTTACAAATCGCAGTACATTTAACGCCAAGAATCTCTTCATCTCCAAGTTCTTCTTTATCGACTATTCGAAACGTCATATTCGGTCCACATGGTTGTCCTTCTAATTTACAACCATAATCAAGGATTTCTTGAGAAAGCAAACAGTTCCCGTACAAACAATTTAATGAATTCTGCTAAAATTATTATTATTCTTTCATTCAATGGAGACAATTAATCCAATCAAAGATTCCGCATATCTCAAAATTTTACGAAAAAAAAACAAGCACTATTAAAATAGAATAATTTTGGAAGGAAAAAAATTGGTTTTTTTTAGAAAAACTTACTCTCTCCTCTCTTTTCTTCGGTTCACTAATAATATTCCTGAATAAATTGTTTCGATTAATGCATTGTTCGCCATTTAGTACAAAATTTTCATTGTCGCACTGACAATGCTGTGTGCATATATTCAATGATAAATTTATAAAGACTGGAATGAAATTCATATTAAGTCCACATTTATGACCACTTAATTGACATCCCATGTCCATTACAACATCGCCATATTTGCAGGTTGCATTTATAAAGCATAACCGATTAGTCGCACCAATAACCTTCAAAGAAAATATGCAATATAACATGTCAAAGTGGTTTTATCAGATTCCAAAAAAAACAACATCGGAGATCTCTATCCAGAAAATCGCACTGCTTTGTCCCAAGGCCAATGATAGAGGATCCTATGTTGAGGATAATCAATAACACCGCTGGCAATCTAATTTATATTTTATTTTATTGTTTTAAAATTATTAAAAGTTAAGCTTAACTCCAATTGAAATTCCAGCGATAGCTTAGAAAAAAAAGCGAAACAGAAAAGGAAAACGTTTAAGAAATTTTCGAAATTAAGTCAGATTTTCATTTTTATTTATTTTATTAATCTTTAATGCGACGCTGTTTTGCTTAATTTCAAGGACATTTGCCTAATCTCACTCGTTTAAAGAAAAATTTTAATTTTTATCTGCAAAACACTAACCTCATCAAGTGAGTTCAGATTTTGAGTACGCTCAATGCACTGTTTATTTTCCTCTACGTATTTATCATTTATACACGAACAACGTTGCAAACACTTTCGTGCGATATTGAATCGGTTATATTATAGAAATGTATGAATGGACGAAATATCATATTGGTTCCACATGCAGTATTAGTTGAAAAACAGCCAAAATCTCCGAATATATGGCCGACCTCAATGAGTTTTCGACGCCCTTTACTGGTGAAACGTTCGATTGCTGCATTATCGTTTAACTCTTCCTTTAAAACACTTTTTGAAACATTTTGCCGCCGGCATTAAGCAAAACATGAAGAAAAGCACATCTGTTAGAGAAGTGTCTAATATTACTATGCATATCTATTTACGATAGACTTTTACGATATATTTGCCTATTGATGCTAATGAAATTACTACTATTATATTGCTGGTTAAGGGATAATCATTTGGTACTTATATTCTTCTGGAAGAACGGATCTTTTATGTCACAATATTATTGTATATACTATTTCTTATATTCTGCGCATAAATATTGCAAATTTCGTCCATAACGTAAAACTCGCCTGTTCTACACGACAAAACCTATGATCATGCTTGATTTTCTGCCTTCATCCTTTTTGTACTCAAATCCATGGCCTTATTCGCTCTTCTTTTTTAAATATGCCCATAAACTCG